CTGTGTCTGTCTGACACTGTCTCTCTGTCTCTCTCTGTCTCTCTTTGTGTCTCGCTCTGTCTCTCTCACTGTCTCTGTCTCTCTCTGTCCCTCTGCCTTTCTCTATCTCTCTGCCTCTCTTTCTCTCTCTCTCTCTGTCACTGACTGTCTCTCTCTCTCTGCCTCTCTCTTTCAGTCCCTCTCTCTCTGTCTCTCTTCCAGTTCCTCTCTCTCTCGCCCCCCATATATATATATATATATATCTGTGTGTGTGTGTGTGTGTTCAACACCATCACTTGATAAGACACCGGAAGTGTTGAAACAAAATGGCTATTTTTGTAGTGATTTTATAACATATTTATGTCATAATTTTCGAATAAATAATTATGTTTGCTCTACTCTGTATTGAGCACTCTTTTAAGAATAGTATTTTTTGGTTATCGGAATTTATTCCGTATACATCAATCCTATACTTTGATATATATATATATATATATATATATATATATATATATATATATATATATATATATACAAATATATATATATAAAAGTGAAGTGATGATTATGATATATGCAGGCGACAGGCCACGACGATTGCATATAGCATGAAACATACTGTCGCCTCTAAGTGTTGACTTTATGTTCACTTTGTATATTTACACGCTCTATCTCTGTTATTGAGCACTTTATTCCATAAATATAGCATACCTTAAAACTATATTTTATATATATATATATATATATATATATATATATATATATATATATATATATGATAAAATATAATTTTAAAGTATGCTATATTTATGGGTTAATGTGGTCCACATCAGCGACTGAGCGTATGTAAATATAAAAGTGTATATTGAGGTCAACACTCAGTTGCGATCGGCCTGACGATTGCGTATAAGCATGAACCAGTCTGTCTATATAAGAGAGTGGACACTGAAGTCAACGTCCACTCTCTCTTATATATATATATATATAAATATCAATTTCAGTTGAGCTCTCTGGGGACGAGGTGTGGGTTGGTAAACAGCGACTACTATAGCTATATAGCGAGACTCTTCGCAGATGCGAATTGAGTCACTGTCGGTCACTGGGCGTGTTTCTAAAAATAAATACGCTAAAAAAATCCACTTTCACCAATTCAGTCGGGTTTCGATCCTAGCTAGAGGCAACCGGATGTCTAGCCACTGATGAGCTGTGAAACAGCGAAACAGTCTGTCTGTGGATGACGTTATATATATATATATATATATATATATATATATATATATATATATATATATATATTGTGGAAAATCAAAGTTACCAGCGATAACTCTCCCCATAGCAGTGGAAGCACTGCTGCGGGTTGCTCGAGAGATTTGACTGAATCTTCTTGTTTTTTCCCACCTGGGTAAAATGTGATTGTGCTTTGTGCTTAAAAGGGGTCCTCTTAATAGACGAAGCGGCTCCTATTGTTAACCACTCGTCTGTTCTACTTCGTTGCGAAGAGCATCTTTTTTTCGCAACCCTACAAATTGTTACCTCAGCATTCTATGCCTCTTTACCATTTCTTAAAGACAGAGCTAGACCCATCTCCGTCGAAAATTAACGTAATTTTCGAAAATAAATATATGACTAAGAGGCAAACATTGTTTTATAGATGTGAATTTGCTGTGTACAAGGGCGTCATAATTTTTCTTCTGTCGTACTTTCTGGGTAAGTGTATGAGGTGTATTACTTTTGGATCGTCCTTCGTGTATACACCAGGGTGAATCTGAAAGTGAATGCAATTTTGAAATTACGCGGTAAACAGAAGAGAGGAGCTGGCTCGTGACACCACTCGTGTGCATGGGATGACTGACAGCCAACCGCGCGCAGCATTACATTATTCAGTTGAATGTCAGGGAGCAACGAGGTCAGACGTAAGGACGCTCCACTCAGCGGTTACACTATCGGGGAATAACCCACCATTGTGCGCTTCCTGTGAGCAGACGGAATCAAACCAGCGGAAATCCATACCCGGATGTTGGCCCAGTATGGAGCACGGGCAATGAATCCCCGAAATGCGTATGAGTCGTCCGAACTTTTTAAAGCTGGAAAAATAAGTGTAACGGACGTGGATGGTTGCCCATCAACATCGAGTACGGAAGGACACGTCCCGGGGGTGGTTGACTTGTTCAGGGAAGACCGACGAATCACGTCGGCATAAGTGGCAACAACCGTACGCATCAGCTATGGATCTGCACAAGACATAGGGCATGAGGACTTCGGATACCGTAAAATTTGTGCGCGTTGAATAAACAAGTGCTGCAGATGCGGCTTCGTAAACCACTGAAAAGATTCTTTTCGGAAAGGATGAGGAAGCTCGTTGAACGATACCAGAAATGCATTGCCGTTCATGGGGGCGGGGTCACTGTCGAATAGCAGTATATGCATTTGTTCTTCAGCAGTGGACTTAAAAGGGTTCTATGGAAATTGCCTTTACCGTTTTATATACTCACGTATATATAAAGGGTGTTTCATTAAGACG